AACATAATTTATCTTTCTAGAAGCTAAATAAAATAGTAAATAATTTTAAATATGTTTTAATCATCATCTAAAATATTGGTTACTCAGGTGAAGGGCAATCCTAAAATACCCAATAACAGCCAAGTGGCTGTGCTTTTGGGCAACACGTTGTTTTGAGAAGTTAAACTCTAAAACAAGAACATATAACTGCAATACTAACGAATTGGTAGAGAATGTTAAAAGATAGGGAAGGCGGCAGAAAACAACCCAATCAGTTAATACAGTTACAAGGTCACCAATGACGTGTCAAGAGAGACTGAAAAGGCTAAAGCTAAAGGATGCTGACCTCAGAGCTTCAGGATGGCCAGGAGAAATGACACAGACATACATCTATGGGATCTGTGGGCACCAATCCTGCAGTTAAATTCTAGGGCTTAGGATACAAGAAGAATCTTCTTTTAGCCAAACATACCACACAGAAAGAGGATGGGGAGGTGAGAATACAGATTTCCCTAAATTAAGAGTTTCTAGTTAGCAACCTGAAGGGTCACTATCTTTATTTCCTCTTCAGGGCAAAGGCAGACACAGAAACATTAAGCATAACACAGCTCCAGACGGTGGCTGGTTCCCTTCAGAACCACCACAGGCAGTACTCAATCAAGCACCATGGAAAACTCAGCCAGGTGAGAACATTTTGAGCAATAAGTAAAATTAACTGGTGACATATAATGCATGTGCTACGAACAGAAAACCTCACACTATGACTAACTCAGAGTTTCATCTCATTAAAGACAGAGAGCACTATATCAAGCTGCCTACAGAAGCCCAGAATCCTTGATGTGACAAATAGTATGTGTGTTGCATAGGGATGCCACAATTCTATGCATCTTAATATTTTTCTAAGTAAAGAGTGAACTGAGATCTCTTTTAGGCCAAAAAATCATGTTTTGAATGGATCACAGCTCTAACCCTGTGTAAAAGCTGGTCTCACAGATTCAAAATTTTGATACAGGTTGCTAGCTTCAGAGAGAATGTGATCCCATTACTAAAAACAATGCACATGTCTAGTAGGTTCAATAGATGTTAAGGTACTGGCCCATGGTAACCAGAAGATAGGAAAAGACTTCCTGGATTGAAAATAAGGACAGTTTCACAATGACTGCGTGGAATGTTTAAAAGTATTGTCTTTGAAAAGGTATCTTCAAAATAGATACTACCTTCAGAACACTTAAAAACATCCTATGATCTCTGAACAAAAGTTTTTTCCATTTCTTGTCCCATTCAATGTTTATCTTCTTCAAACTCAGAGAATACTAGCCCAAAATGAACAAAATCCAAGAATTTAGGCAAGGCAAGTTAAACCCACGTCAAGCCTAAAACCCACAATTCACAACCATTCGCTAGTCCCAAAGCAGCACACAAAAATGCAATGGAAAAGAGAAACAGAGAAACATTAAGAATAAGCTTGTTTTTAAGACCAAAGTATTATAGGTATTTTAGTCACACATCTCACACTTCCTTGATTCATAATGCCCTGTTTTCCTGTTTTAGGAATTGAATAGGCAAAGACTTGAGCTTGGTCCTCTAAAAATGCTTCATCACTCTCTCTTTTTGGGGAAGTGTCCTCACAAATACTACCAGGCACTTCATGGATGGAAGGTAACACCTATAACTCTCGCTGCCATTCTCTCTTTTCCTTCCTCCTTTCCTGCCCTGTCTTCCTTTATTGTTGTGATGGAGACTGAATTAAGGCCTCATACACACTAGGCATGTGAAGTCTGGGGTCTCTCATTTAGTGAACGATACCTCAAGGTAAATTCTGTTTTGACTCAGACACTGTATTTCTTCCTATCAGTTCCTGCCAAGGCACAAATATACTGCCATAAAATGATAAGTCCCTGGTCAAATTTCAAATTTGCCAGAAACAGTGGAGCCGAATGAGCCATTTACTTTAAGGGCTGGTGTCAAGTTCAAGTCACTGCTTATTCACTCTCTGGTCTAAATTTTTAGATATAATTAGGACAGTTATACTGCTTATAGCATGTCAGGCTAGCTTGTCCTTTATTTGTATAGGACCAGACAGGCAATGTTTTGCTGTGGGGAAAAAAATGGAAGTACTTTTACCACTCCTAACATGAGCAAGTGAAGACAACTTTAAAAAGTACTGAACATAAAGATCTAGTTCTTTATACTGATTTTCTTGTGAAAAAAAAATTATTCTTATACTTTTGTGCTATAGAAATGATACTTATATTTCATTTTATTTAATAAAAGGATGTCTGTTTTTTATTTTTTAAGTCTATTTTTTAAAAATCCTAGACTTCTTTTATAACAACATACCAGAGTTCCAGAAAACCAGACATAAACAAGTTTGGGTCCCAACTACAAGAGATTTAGAAATCTCTTGAAACCCATTTGTATAGTCACAGAGGATGATGAACCTAAAAGCATATTTCAGAAATGCCTACCTGGTTTACAAGCCAAGAGTACAGTCCAGCCAGTCCTCTCATCAGCCTTCATATTTCCAAAAGGCAAAAAGTCTTGGTGAGATCCTGTCTCAAAAGGGAAGGACAAATAAACACACTAACTTCCTTAACTAATCTCCCATACTGTCAAAGAAACCAGTGAATCACTAAATCTAAACTAATACAAGTTCATTAAACCAGCTTTGTTTACTTTGCTACTTCCAATTCTGTGTCCCTGACTAAAAAGAAACATTAGTATGGTATAGAGCTCAAGTCCACTCTATTTCAACATTCACAAATAGACTGGTAAATTAAAAAAAGATGCTTTCTTACCATACATGTTATTACAAAAGAATAAATACAGTAAATTTTTTAAATATTCAAGTCATGGGTCAATGTAATCTTAAATCAAATTATCTGGCTGACAGAGCAGACTGTGAAGAGTTCCTAAAAGTTCAAATTATGTGCCTCTTACCACTTGAGTCAAGAACTTCCTTGAATATTTACGGTCAGGGACACCTCAAATTTTAAGGTCTTTTCAGTTCATGGTGGTCTTAGAAATTTCCTAACCCTGTTTAACAGAATTGTGAGTTAAATAAACTTTAATATTCGGCCAGTCCTCTGTCTATGAATACTGATAGACTGTCTCTGGGAAGGAAATTAATGGTTACAAGGAGCAATGACACCGTCCTATAAAAAAAAAATTAAAGGTTGTTTTTTTTAAGTCACTACTGTTTGAAATGAGTAAGATGGTAAGATCAAGTAACAACTAACTTAAAAAGAGCATCTTTCCTCTAAATGACAATGGGGGGGAGGGGACATTGGGTTTGAACTGTACCTAAACTTTTGTGCTCAAGAGGACCACTCTACTACTTTGGCCACAGCTCCACTTCCAGATTTTTGGCGATTAATTGGAGATAATGTCACAGGGACTTCCCTGCCCGGGCTACATTTGAACTACCATCCTCCGATCTCAGCCTTCTGAGTAGCTAGGATTACAGACCTGAGCCACTGGTGCCGGGTGCCAATTACCCTTTAAACAAGAAATCTCTCTTCCATAGTGCCACTTGTTTCAAAGCCAGGGTGCCTCACACGTTCAGTGTGGACAAATGAAGGCCGCATTTTCACATAAGGTAATTTTTATCTCTGGGCCACCAAGTCTACTTCTATGGAGTACCATAAAAAGCCTCTCAATAGAAATTAAAATTTACACATAAGGATTTCTACCTAGAGAGTAAACATGCTCTTCCATACTCGTCTTACGTGTTGTTTGTGTGTGTGTGTTTTCCATTTACAACTAACTCTTCCTCTTTGAATGAATTGGGAGGATGGGCCCAACATGAGAAAGGAAACTGAAAGCGCCAAGCTGAGAAGCCACACCACTGATTTATCCCGGATAGGTCCTGGGCTGGGGATGCGTGGGGGTGGGGTGGGAGGGGGTTGGGGGGTGAAAACCGGAAAAAAAAAACCTAACGACCAGGCTCCAAGAGCACACCTGGGGTTCGAATCTCCGACTGGCTTCTAGGGCTGACCGTACCCCCACGGGAGGCCGCAGCCTCGGGCTTGGACCCCCCCCCCCCCCACCTTACATGGGTGCCAAGGCCTAGAAACTCATCCAAGTTGAATGAAGGTGACTTCTGGGAAGAGATGCCGCTGGAACCCCGCCGTGTGCTCTTGGCAAGTGCGGCTGCACCCCGGGCAGGAGGCCGGCACGGGGTCCGTCGCGGGGCACGGCCGCCACCTCTCCCTCCGCTCGCAACTTCCTCTCGAGACGCCGACCCGCACTCGGGCACCTTCAACACCCCCCCCCACACACACACACACCCCTAGACGATCCCCGCCGGCGGGACTCCGGCTGCGCGGGGGCCGGCGGGCGCCACGCCGGCGGGTGGCTCGGTCAACTCCGGCCGGAGGTCGCGAAGTTTCTCTTGTCACCCAAGCCCAGGCACACGCCGGAGCCCGGGGAGGAAGCGGGCGGACGCCGGGCCGGAACCGCGCCACCTGGAACGCGGGGGCTCTTTTTTTTTTTTTTTTTGTCATTGCCGGCCGCGCCCGCCGCCAGGGCCCGCGTTCGAGACCCACCCCGGCGCGCGCGGGCGCCAACTTCGCGCCGCGTCCCCTCAGCGCCCCCCGGCCCCTCGTCCCCGGGGCTCCGCGGGCTCCCCCCCCCACCTCCACCCTCCCCAGAGAGGCGAGCACCCCGCCTTCCCCGCTGCCGGGATGGGGTCACCTTCTCGGGGCGGCTGCGGAGGGGGGGAACCCCGCCCGCGGCGGCCCCGCGCGCTCCCGCAGCCCCCGCGGCGTCCGCCCGGGCGAGCTCACCTGGCGGCCGCGGCGGCCTCCCGGGCGGCCTCTAGGCGTGGGCCGGGCGGGGGCGGCGGCGGCGCGGGGGGGGGGCGGCCCGGGCTGCAGCCCCGCGTCCGCCCGCCTGACCCCCGTCACGCGCCGGCCACCGCCGCAGCTGCAGCCGCCCCCCGGGGAGCGCGGCGAGCGCGGGGTGCGCGAGTCCCGCGGCGGCGGCGGCGGCGCGACTCAGGCGTCGGAGCGGGCGGCCGCGGGCGCCGCCGCCTCCTCCTCCATGGCTGTTTACCCGGCTGCATTGTGGGAGTTTGACCTCCGCCGCCGCCGCCGCCGCCGCCAACCGCCGCCTCAGCCTGCGCCGCCGCCGCCGCCGCGCACGCCATGGGAGCCGTGACGGACGGTGAGGCCCGTTCCCCGGCTCCGCGCGTCCTTCCCCGCGCTCCGGGCGGACGAGGGGGATCGGCAGCCGCTCGGCCGCTCCCTCCTCGGCTTTCCGGGCTTCTCCCCACCGGCCCGACGCCCCTCCTCGGAGCCCCCCCGCCCCTGCCTTGGACCCCGGAGGGCCGGCATTCCCGAGGGGCCGCGCGGGGGCCACTGGGAGGATCGGGGTGGGGGGGGGCTGCGAGCGCACGCCGGGGTCCCGGCGTCGGGGCGGGGGGGTCGGAGGGGGTCCCGGGCGGGGTGCCGAGGGGTGTGGCCCGCCTCCCGCGGTGCGCTGTGGGGAGTGGAGGCGGTCGGGGTGCCGGGTCCGAGGGTCTGTGGAGGCCCGGGAGGGAGGAGTGCGCCACGAGGCTGAGGGTGTGTGCGGAGGCTCCGGGGGTGACACCGGCCCTGGACCGGTGGGAAAGGGCCCGCCGACGTGGGGGAGAACGGGGAGGGGCGGGCCAGCGCCTGGCTGAACTAGGTGAGGGTGGGCGTTCCCGAAGCACGGTCCCGCACTGTACTGGGGACCGTACAGTACACTGGAAGATCTGGGAAGGCCGTGGGAGTGGGGAAGACGGCTGGTCGTCTGCAGTGAGGGGGGTAGAGGGCTGGGTTTGTGGACACATGGAACCGAGCAGAAATGGGGGAACAGAATGGTAGGAAAGGATGGGCAGGCATAACGGGCAGTTAAGGAAAAAGCAGGTCCTTTGGCATCTGGGTATGTGGAATAAAGCTATTTGAGGATAGGGTAAACTAGAGGCCCCCGTGGAGAAACTTATTTCTGAGGGAGTAGGGGACCCACGGGGGAATTAATGTGGATTAAGAAGCCAGATGATTTAGGGTGAACAGTGACAAGATCTTGGGTAAGTAGCAGAGAAGCGCCCTGGAACTTCATGGGGAAATTTAACTTTGCTGTATTTCAGTTTTATTTTTTTCAGCAGCTATTTATCCTACTTGGGATTTACACAGCCCAGCACCATCAGGCAAACCTTTTCCTCCCCTAAAGTTGCATTCTGGTGAGAGCCATACATTGAATTACTAGGGTGTGTGTGTGCGCGCGCGCGCGCGCGCGCGCGCGCGCGTGTGTGTGTGTGTGTGTGTGTGTGTGTGTTAGTTTTAGTTTTGCTATTTTGTCTGCTCAGGGTTTGAATGCAAGGCCTGGACGCACTGTCCCTGACCTTTTTTGCACAATGCCAGTGTTCTACCACTTTAAGCCACAACTCCACTTCTGGTTTTTAAGTGGTTAATTGGAAATTGTCTCATGGAGGTTTTTTTTTTTCCCAACTTCAGATCTCAGCCTTCTGAGTAGCTAGGATTATAGGCATGAGCCACCAGCTCACTAGTTTTAAGGGTTGCAAATGTTAGCATGGGAGAAGTACAAAGTAGGGAGCTATACAACATACAACAATTATAAAGCTACAGAGTGTTTGGGGGCAACTAGAAAGCCTTCCTGGAGGAAGGGAGTAAAAAAAACTTTGGCCCTTTTTCCCCCAGTACTGGGGCTTGAACTCAGGGACCTCTGCCTAGCTCAGTTCACTGCTGGTGTTCTACTGCTTGAGGTACACCTCCAGCCTGACTTTTTGCTAGTTAATTGAAGATGAAATCTCCCAGACTTTCCTGCTCTGGTTGGCTTTGAACCACAAGTCTCCAAAGTAGTGTGAGCCTTCTGAGTATCAGAATTATAGGCATGAGCCACCTGTACCTTATTGCTAAAAAATTTATTGTTAATTCTATTTTTGAAGACAAATGTAGATAGCCTGCATAGATGGGGAGTGCAAGTTGGAAGAATTAAAAGATAACTGACCAGTATTGACTAGAAGTTAGAAAGTTATGAGCCATAGCTTTTAAAGTGCAGTGGAAAGCCGTTAGACATTTTAAACATTGGTATGGTGTACTCAGATTTGCTTTTTTTTTCTTCCTGTGTTGATAATCAAACCCAAGAGTCTCATTCATGTTAGGCAAGTAAACTATATCCTCACTAAAGTATCCTCAGCCCCAGATTTGCTTCATATGCAGTAGTACTGAGTGAAGAATGATGAAGGGAAAGGGAAAGTGACAGACTGCTAATTAAATAACCTCTCTATAACGAACATTTATATAGTACTTAGACTGCATATCAGGCGGTGTTTGTCCCAATTTTATGAATGAAAATGCCACCCAAAAAGATTAAGTAACATGACATCATTATGAGTAGTAAATGACTCCTAATTTAAACCAGGCATCTGTCTCCAGAGTTGATGCTTCTCACTATGTGCATCTTGTGTACCAACTACTGCTGCAGTAGTCCTAATGAGTGTGGGGGACCACAGGCCAAGTTGAAATTCCACCAAGAGAAAATACAGAGAAGTAGAGGGGGAAGTACCACAACAGGATGTGACTGAGGAATATGAGGGAAGGGGGGGGGGGGAATCAATGATGATCCCAGGTTTCTAATTTGAGTGATTGTGTGCCTTCTAGGTAGTGATTGTGTGCCTTCTAGGTATGCATCTATTGAGGTAGAGAACTCCAAAGGAGGAATAGATTTTGTCCAATAGGAGTAGGGGAGGGAAAATGAATTCTAGTCAACTACAACCAGTTGCCTTGAAATTCTTAGAGGCCACAAAAATCCTCATTCCGCTACTTAGAATCTGTTTGACCTTGTGGAGGTTAGTTACTAAGCTTGTTTTGTACTCTTGTTTATGAAGGTAATAATAAATCTACTTCTGAGGATTGGTTTGAGGATGAAATGCAGTAAAATTTGTGAAGGGTTTGCATTGAGTCCAGTACATAGTAATATTAGTATATACAGTAAAATAGTAAATATTACTAAACATCATTTGTTTTACTAATCTCTTTGCTATGATGAGAATTGTGTCTTCTCTATCTTTAAATCTATGGAGATTGCCCTTCCCTGTCTTCTGTTTACAGAATTCAAATAATTGAGCTGAAATTAGTATTGTATGTGATCAACAAATATCTATTGTATACCTTCTACAGCATGGGAGGTGTTGTTCATAGAAGAGAATTAGACACAAGAGGTAGGACTCTGATCCAAGACTGAGGGAGAGAAGCAATACTGTTTGGTCAAATAAGTTAGTTTGTTAGAAAGAACAAAATCGAGTTTTGAGAGTGAATTTGTTGACAGTAGTGGGAGAGGGATGCTAAAAATTGGGAGAAAATAAGGTGGTCAGCTATAAATTCTGAAAAGCTACAGTTAAAGTGAGACCTACCTGAAAGCATCAATTACATAAAAAGCCCTTCAAGAAAGTACTCCAGATGAGAAAAAAGTAGTGAAAAGCCTAAGCTTGTGAAACAAGCTCTATCTCTTTGGGGAAGGATAAGAAACACCATTGGGGTAGCATCCAGGTAAGCCAGGAGGATTATGGTACCAAATAAGGTAAATGGGAGCCCCTACACCTACGAAAGAGTGGGTTTTCTGCTGGCAGTTGGCACCCATTGGAAGATTTTAGGATGAGAGCTAGTGATTCAGTTCATCTTTCAGGTCATTGTTAGTTTTGGTATAGAGAGCGGATTGTAAGAAGCCAAGATTGGAAGGTGGGAGACCAAGGCAGACTGTTTGACATAAGAGAAGTAGGCTTGGATTCCTGTTGGCAGTGGAGTCAGCAGTAAAAAACCAATGTCTTTGATATTCATCCTCTTGAAAATCTCTTGGAGGGGGGTCAGCACTTGTCCCTGGAGCTTAGATGAGGGCCAATGAACTCTTACAGATTTCATGTACCTGATCACTACCCTCTTCATTTAATCTTTATATATGCCTTTGCATATCCAGCAGTCCTTTATTTCTATTACAGGGAACTGCACTGCCTCAAAAGGAAGGAGATAAAGTGCTACATTGCCATTGATAGATGCTGGACTGTACCTTCCAACCCTGACGCTTTATAGAAAAAAATGGAGTTCCTGAGGAATTGGTGTCTTAGTCACATGGCTAGTTAGTGATAAAACCATTCTCCTTTGATGCCAACCTAGCATTTTGGCTAACTGAAAAAGAGTTTTGATGTCACTGTTAATTTAAACTGTGTTAACAGTTTGTATTTTGTAGCTGTTAATTTAAAAGGTGTTAAATGGTGTTAGTAACCTGATAGAAATAATTTCAAGAGTACTTTTTGTAATGCAGAGAACATTAGGTAAATATGTTAATCTGCCAGAGCAACAGATGGGAGATGCGCAAGGGGAGGAGGAGATGTGCCTTTTCATTCGTCTTTATAGAGCCTGTTGGTTTTGATAGCCGCTTTTTCTTTTATTCCAAAAGTGTCATGTACAGATACATGCTTGTTATAATTTGAAATCATCTTTTGCATGCCTAAAAACATGACATAATTACAGGATTATTTTCATTGTGCATATTTTCCTATGAGTGTAGAGGCACATTCCATGGTGACATTTTCAGGGATGATGTGTGATAATACCTGTGAAGTATGTTGAAGTTGAGTGGCCACTTATTATCCATGGCAGGCCGTTTTTCAGTGTGAGAAGAAACAAGTGGGGTCTATGTTCAGTAAGTGAGGTGTGTAAACATGAATCTTGTGCTGTAGTTATTCCTATTTCACTGGTTCATCCAGTTCATTAGCTTGTTTCCTTGGGGCTCAGCAAAGTGATCACTAGTGCAGTCCAGCAATTAGAATTCCTTTAGCCAAGACAAATAATTTTTCAAAGGAAGATTGAGGTTGTACCATTTTCTAAATATTTAGAGAAAAAGACTTCTTATTTTCAAATTTAGTTTTGGCTTAAGCAATTTACTTTGGCATCAGCAGTTTGGATTGTAGGAGAGATCAATGCTTGCAGAGAGAAATCAAACCATTCTATTTATGTGTCCCATCCACCTTTAATGTGTTTGTTGTTGTTGTTGTTGTCCATGGGGCTTGAATACAGGGCTTGGGTCCTGTCCCTGAGCTTTCTTGCTCAAGGCTAATGCTCTGCTACTTTGAGCCACAGCTCCACACCCAGTTTTTAGGTGGTTAATTGGAGATAAGAGCTTTT